TTAGAATTTGTGAGCTTGGAATTGGGCTTGAAATGAAGAACATGAATTGAGTTGAATTTGATGAATTGAAGTTTGTATGTACATGCACGTAAGGGATTGTCATGAGTTTGCATATTTGATTACAAACATGCATTTTATAATGAATTGAAGGTTATTTGGCACACGCAAGCATGATAATGTTGAATTTCATGAAGTTGATCATCAATTGTACTACTTAAGTTGAAAATGAAGCCTATATTTCACATGCATGTATATTTCAAAATGACATGGAAATTAATTTGCATGAGCTTTGAAGTTATGAAGTGAGTTTCATATTATTCGAGTTTATGAGATAGATTTATGTAAATTTGATATTGAAATTTTGTAAAATTGGCCCTTATATTCATGATTAAAGTTATATGGTGGAAATATGAGTCTTATGATATTAATTACATTGGTTGGAACCAAGTTTTGAAGCTCAAACATAATCTGGAGAAACCCAGAATTTGACCTGCCCATTCGAGCGTGGAGAGTCCCGCTCGAGCATACCCTGTTTTACTAGACTCCTCACTCGAGCGTCAAAAGTCTCGCTCGAGTGTAATTTATAAGCAACCAGTACTTTTGCAGACCAAAGGGGTTCGCTCGAGCGGCCGAAGCTACGCTCGAGTGGAGGGCTGTTTTAGAAATTTTGAAAAGATGTTTTATGCTTCGTTTTCCATTCTCTTTCATTTCAAAGCACTCTTAGGCATGCATTAAACATTGTAAATGAATTAGAGAACATGGAAGGAGCCTAAGAATGTTAAACAAGTTAAAGAATGGAATGAATTGTAATATGACCCAATATGTTATGAATTATGTAGGGTCAAACGCAGGGATGAATCAAGTACCAAAACACTATGAGTAATAACTTAGTAAAACTATATTCAACTTTATTTATTTTCTATATGATGAATTAAGATCTATTTTCTGAAATGATACATTATGTACAATGAATGATTGTCCAATTTCTGACAATGTATTCGTGGCATCCTTAGCATCATGTGATATCTGTTAGCTGTTACCCGGTATTGGAGGTTCCATTATGGAACTTATTATGTCAGTCATCTGTTACCCGTACCAGAGGCTCCATCATGGAGCTCAACATGTATATTCTCTGTTACCCGGTATCGGAGGTTCCATTATGGAACTTATTATGTCTGTCATCTGTTACCCGTACCGGAGGCTCCATCATAGGGGTCAGCATGTTTATTCTCTGTTACCCGGATCCGAAGGTTCCTTTATGGAACTGGTTATTCATAACCACCATGTGTTCTGCATCTGTTCTGTATCTGTTCTATTAGCACTAATGGATGTACCATGTATGATTAAGCATGAATTCTGATTTCTGTATTTGATTTGAACAAGAATATGAATATGAATCTGAATTATGATCTATGAATCTGGTATGGACATCATTCATTAAAACCCTTTACTCTTCACTAGACTATAGCTTACTGTATTATTTATGTATTTAGGTGATCATGCGCGTGACCAGGCTTAGAGACATCTACCTGGGATCTGTTTTTGTCAGCCAACCTATATGCCTCCCGTGGAGGTTCCAGATATGTCAAGTGACTATGGCTATGTGATTTAAAGTTTAAGTTTTATTGTTTTGTTTGGTTAAACAAGTCTTGTGTATTTTGTAAATGGGGCTAAGTCCCCTTTTTGTCTAATCTGTATATATATATATAATGACCTAAAGATGATGTGTATACATGTACATAAAAAGTTTAAAATTTTTCTGTCTCATATAAGTCTGCACAGCTCAATGGATGTTGTATATTTGTTATTTGCTTCCGCTAGCCCCTAATATTATGTTAATTTGTCTCAGAGGCCTTCGGTAATCCCAGGATTACTGGCCGGTTATGATTCTAAACCTATAGGGGCAGGTTTGGGTCGTAATAGGCTCACAATTCTAAATTTTCTATGCATCCAGGAAATATGAAAATGTATCATGATTTGAAGCAGAATTTCTGGTGGCCGAGAATGAAAAAGGGTATTGTAGATTTTGTGGCTAGATGTTTACACTGCCAACAAGTTAAAGCTAAACATCAACGACCCGCTGGTTTATTACAGCCACTTCCAATATCAGAGTGGAAATGGGAGCACATTACCATGGACTTCATCATAGGATTGCCTCGCTCTTCTCGAGGTATGGATTCTGTCTAGGTTATAATTGATCATTTGACTAAATCTGCCCATTTTTTGCCTGTTAAAAATATTTATAATGCGGACAAGTTAGCTAACATGTATGTGAATGAAGTTGTGAGATTACATGGTGTACCAGTATCTATCGTATTTGACAGAGATTCGAAGTTTACATTGAGATTCTGCCAGAGTTTGCAACAGGCTTTGGGAACCGAATTACGGATGAATAGTGCCTGCCATCCACAGACAGACGGTCAATCCGAAAGAACAAATCAGACTTTGGAAGATATGCTGTAGATATGTGTGTTGGACTTCCAAGGGAATTGGGAGACCTACCTTCTTTTAGCCGAGTTTGTGTACAATAACAGCTACCATTCAAGTATTAGGATGGCTTCTTATGAAGCTCTCTATGGAAGAAAATGTCGTTCTCCTGTATGTTGGGCAGACGTAGGTGACAGGCCACTGTTGGCCCAGAACTTGTGCAAGAAACGATTGAGAAAGTGATGCCAAAGTACAACTTTTTGATAACGTATGCACAGAGTAATCCAATCTGCAAGAACAAGTAAAATGGCTTACAGATTTGCACAAATATTTTCTTTTTGTCAGCAAGAGACAATTCACAAGCAGTATACATTAAGTTTTGAGTGGAAGCAGCAGAAGCCATAACAACTTTAAGAGCACATCTATGAGGCCCAAAGAAAACTTTTTCCTGGGGCGTATGCAGTCACAAACCACTCTAATAAGCTAAGAGTGTGTTTGGATTAAAGGGTTTAGAATTCTAGAGATATTTGAAATAATGATTCAAAATCATATAATTTAAAATCCAAAAAACTCTTCTTTGAACTAGTTTTGTATATCTGGATATTTGCCTACTTTCAGTTGAACTGAAAGAATTACAACATAAGACTGTATTATTAAAAATTCATAGAATCATGTAACAAGGATAGTCATAATTTTGATGAGCTAAAAAGAAAAGGAGAAAAACAAAAAAATATGAAAAGAATATGAAAATACGAGTGCTTTGGTACGCAACTCAAGCTAGCACCAGCTAAAAATAAAGTTTGCTAAATATTCCTCCTTTGCTTCTTATATAGTCCAATTGAGCATAATGAAGACAATATATGATTGGTTGGCTAACAGAAATTGAATGTTTGTGTCAAATAGCAAGGACAACACCACTAAGAGGGAGAAGTTGAAGCCTCGAGAACAAGAGATAGACCAACAGATATGAATGTAAGTTGTGAGAAAGCACATGATCTCAAGAAAAGACTTCTTTAGCTAGGACAAAGTGGTTGAAATGTGGCTTCACAGGTATAGCTGCAGCTTTGTTCCCCACTCTCAAGTTGATGCTTTTCCTTTCTCAAGTTGTTTTCTCTTTCTCACAGTTATATTTGCTCTTCTATTTTCTTGTTTCTTCACTTTTTCCTACCTCTGCAGCTGCTTCGTTCTTCTCATAATCCTGAATTTTCTTGTTTGCACAAAATGGACTGTGGTTTCTTATATTGCTTCTTTGGAGCAAGTTGCTAATATATTTACCAAGCCTATGCATGCCTCTTGGTTCCAGATGGTGGTTATTAGTTAGTTACTCTTCTCTTTCTTTAATTGTTATATGCGTGTGCGTATAGCTTAGAGCTGAGAAATGAACATTCATTTGAGTCTGTTCTTTTGTTCATCTTAATGTTCAATTTCAGAAAAAGTTTCAGTAATAAAGGAATTTTGCACCAAGAAAGTTTTCAAAGATTAGAGTTTTCTTTAACTGTTGGGCACCCAAGGTCAATTAAAATTTTTTACTGAAAACTTAAGTTACAGAGAAACTTTCTCTGGAATTTATTAAGTTGTAGATAGTGATGAGTGGAAGGAACTCATCACTATCTGTAGGATGCCTCAATACATCGTCATCTAGACGTTTTTCTTTAAACCATTTCATATCCTCGGCTCTCTTTCTCAACATGTATAACCTTTTCAACCACGGTGTTAATGGGAAGTATCGAAGGACCTTATGAGAGATCATCTTACCTCTACCATGATCTGTCTTGTATCTAGAAGCATTACAATTTGGACATTTATCCAATGTTGCATTCACCTTCCAAAAGAGCACACAATCGTCTACATAAGCATCAATGAGCTCGTATAACAAACCTAATTCACGTAGTATTTTTTTAGCTTCATAAGTTAACTTTGGAACCAAATTATCCTTCGGTAAAAGTTTAGTTAAAAACTCTAGCATCATGTCAACTGACTTATAACTCCAATGGTTTGTTACCTTCATATTAAGTATCTCGATGACAAACTTTAACAAAGTGTAATCTATGCAACCTGGGTATACCTCACATTTGGCATCATTCAGCAATTTATCAAAAGTGCGAACCTCCTCCTTCTGGGTTGTATTAGTTGATTCCCTCTTATTCGATCTTCCACTAAGGCATCAATACCTCCCAAAACCTCATTGCTCTCAACGGGTATATCATGGTGATGAGCCTCATTTGATTCACAGGGTTCCCTATGCAAGTGCCAGATAGTGTAAGTTGAAATAATCCCATGCTGCAGCAAATGAATTAGAATAATTTGAAAATTTTGACGAACAACATTCACACACCTTCGACACGAGCACAAAATTTTACCATCTCGATCGATAACCGCCATTGCAAAATGAAGAAATGATATTACCCCATCATAATATGCTCGACTTATCCTTCCATCAACTGTGCTACCTAGTGCAATCCAACTCTTGTCCATGTCTGACTATGCCGAGTTAATTAAAGGTAGGTGAATAGGACAAATTTTATATATTAATAAAAAAAAAAAGTTGAAGTCCAATGACTATACTGAGTTATCTAAATTTCAACCACATAAATCACAAGCGGAAATAGCCAAAGCAATTTAGCGTAAACAGAAGAAGTATTCAAAACCAAAACATAAACTACAGCAAAATAACCATCAATAAGAAGACAAATAACATAATTCAGAGAAAATTTAACCAATAAAGCAGTGAGCTGAGAGTAAAAAGCAGATAACATGACACAGAAACAAAACCCACAATATGCCACATTGAGTTTCTAAAGCATTCAATTTAAGTACTCAAATATCCAAGTGCAAAATCTTATGATTGAACTGCACGTATTTGAAAAAATATATATATGCCCCGAATACCAGAGTTGACACATCTATCAACCAAATAGGGATATTGAAAAAATAATTCATCGGGAAACAATAACTATTCTGGCTCACATTGCACTCATCAAACAAAATGTGATTAAATACTGCAGAGGAACTTAATAATGTACTTAAGGAGCTATGCATATAAGAAATGAACGATGCCAATAGAATTGATAGCCACAAGCAACAATTCCAATGAATGCCCGAGACTATAATTTAGTGCTCTATGGTCTGTTACTACAGTTAGTACTCTGTTTGATTTTCTCTTTACTCAACTATATACAAAGTCCAGAGAAGTTAAAGCAAGATATGCTAATTTAAGGGTGTAATATTCCAATTTTCATTAAATCGATGGTTGTGATGGAAAAAATAATTAATTAATATGTAATATATAATATTTTATCTTATTGATTATTTTAATATTTTTTATTTTTATTGACTATTTTAGCCAAAATCTATCATCCCAAACATATAGACTCAAACTACCCTAAAAAATGCACATGAGAGATGACCGGGGCCACTATTTTGTTTGGGAAGTGTCACGACCCGAACCCACCCCTATGGGTTAAGGCCATAACCGGCCAGTAATCACGAGATTACCTATGGCCTCAAACCAAATAAGACAAAACTCATCAGAGTAAAGGGGCCAAACGGAAGCAAATTTAAAACTTTGTTCATAGAGCCGTGCTTATATGCACATCATAACATTTCACATTTACATATGTTAAAAACTCACAACAGAAAGTGTAGTAGCATAAGGTTTTGTACAGACAGGATCATTCAACTCTAAGTCAGCCAAATAAAACTATACACAGACGTATACCGAAGTCCTCGCTAACATGACAAAATACACAGAAAGGCAAAAGGGCGAAGACGTGTCTCGTGTGTGAGACGCAAGGGCTAACTCTTCAAACTTTGGTTGTTCCATACAGACTTCACTGAGGTTGAGTCTGGACCTCTCTTGGCTCACCTAAAAACACATGAATGAGCGTGAGCGAAAGCCTAGTGAATAATATCAAATAAAGAATATATATTGGAATAATATACGTCAAATGGCCTTGGGCCCAAGTTATACTTCTAACTAGTACATACATACATAGACATATGTAATTTAAGTAACTGCGGTCCCAAACACATCATATGGCCTCGGGCCCAATCCATTAGTATCATTCAAGTCAAACTGTTATTCGTGCCAAACTGTTATTTGTGTCAAACTGGCCTTTGGCCCATTCAATCTTTCATGTCAAAATGGCCTTTGGCCCATTCATTCATGTCAAAATGGCCTCTAGCCCATTCATTCAAGTCAATCGGCCTTTGGCCCAATCATTTATGTCAATCGGCCTTTGGCCCAATCATTCATGTCAATTGGCCTTCGGCCCAATCATTCATGTCAATCGGCCTTCGGCCCAATCATTTATGTTAATCGACCATCGGCCCAACCATTCATGTCAATCGGCCTTCGGCCCAATCATTCATGTCAATCGGCCTTCGGCCCAATCATTTATGTCAATCGGTGTCCACTATTCAAATTAATGAACTTACAAAACTTACATAGAAATAAACAATTGACGACAACATATTTCAAATATCTTGTTAAGATATTACTCAAAGTGATCGGCTTGTGGGTTTGCCTTGGAGCTTGACCCTACACATCATATAGCACATATGGGTCACAAACGATTCAATCCATTCTTTAATTCACATATTCCTCTTTAGGCTTCATTCTTATCTCTTTAACTCAATTACAATGCTTAATGCATGCCTAAGAGTGCTTGCAACTGAAAGAGAACAGAAAACGAAACACAGAATACACTTTCAAAATTTAAGAAAACAAGCCTGCTCGAGCGTGGGATTCCCCGCTCGAGTGGACCCATTAGGTCTGCAAAAGTACTGGATGCATCAAATTTACGCTCGAGCGTAAAGTCTGGCACTCGAGCTGAAGGTCTGTCTACGTAGCTCCCCGCTCGAGCGTGGACTTCCCGCTCGAGCAGACATCCAAGTCTGCAAAAGTACTGGGAGCACGGAATTCACGCTCGAGCGTCGGTTTCCCCGCTCGAGCGGACATCAAATTTTATGGGTTTTCCAGAACATGTTCTTGAGCCGAAATTTGACATTCAAAGGTTCCAAAACACATGATTTCAGTTCAAAAACATGCAAACACTTTACATTACATGAGAGTATAAAAGTATGACACCAAATTGTTCAAAGTCATCATATAATTCCCAAATAGATCGACATTTCTTTCGTATGATCAAAATCCAAACATTCAAACTTCATACCAATTCCATAACTTCTTCAATCATGCATGCATGTCAAATTTTGACTTCATTTCTGTTACAAATGGTACAAATGATGCTCCAAATCATGAAGCTACACAAAACTACTCATGCATGTAAGGTTTGATGCTCCATTCTTCATATTTAACATGCTACATGCTAGAACACCCAAAATTGTAACAATTATGCACATGCATGTTCATTTTAACTTCAAATTCATGAACCTACCTTGCATTTTGGTTAAGATCCATGATTATCGTTAATGTATCAACTTGTAAGTTACCTATGATTCCGTATAAGAATTGCATACAAACTCTTAGCACTGTGAAGTTGGTTGTTCTGACCTATTAATGTAATGGTATCTTTGTCTTCGGATCATCGTTAGAATGAACGTTCTGCTAATTACAAGACAAGTATGTCGATTTGCAATGAACCATGAGGAGATCTAAACGCATCATTAGGTCATACGTTGTTTACTGTTAATAGTTAATGTTAACATTCTGTTATCTGCGAGTTAGCAGTATTGGTTCATGACACTAGTCAAAATTATTAATATTAAATAATTGGGCACTTAATTAATCGTTCTGAATCTAATTATTTTGATCCAAAACAATTTTCAATTAAATTTCACCGTAGGCTCTAAAAATTATGCCAATCACAATGGCCTAATCAATTTTGGTTTCGGTGGCCGATAAGGCCTTCAATTTAAATTCCAAAGCAGATAATCAAACAGATATTCCTACGGTAAATAGATAGAAATTCAAAACCACATATTTTGACATAATGGCACACAAAATCATATCAAAACACATAATCACATTTGTATTAAGGACCAATTAGCATAATAAGGGACAGGGTTATCACAGGAAGTGTTGAATTGGAGATGATAACAGTGAATGGTTTGTAAGAAAAAGTTGAAAACCTTCGAAAGAGATAATAATTCCTTTATGGAGCCAATGGGGTTGTGAACTGTTACTCACTATTTTAGATAATTCAAAGTATACAGATTTTGGATGCAAAGCTAAGGGTCACAAGCGGCGCAAATTTATTTTCTCCAAATAAATAAAATAAAATAAAAATAAAGGAAAAGGATTCACACTCTACCCTATATCAGTACACGATATAATATAGTATAAAAATTATATAAATTTATAAATATATTGACTTTTTTTTTAATTAAAAAAAATCAGCAAAAGAAAAGTTTCTTGATGAAAATTGCAGACATACAAAGAAAGTGTACAATATACAGATACATCAATAAGAAAATCCATGGAGAAATGCATCAAAACTAAAACACAAATGAAAGACAAATTGGAATATGATATCAGAACATCAAAAGCAAGATATTGATATCAGAACATCAAAAGCAAGATATTGATCTCAGAACATTAAAGAGATATTCACTTCAAGCAAACAAAGCTCAAAGCTATCATATATACTAATCAGGTCTCCACATTTTAGTTTTTTTGTCACTAATTTTCTTTGGCATCCAACGTGCCTTTTTAAATGTGCCTTTTTAAATGAAGGTGCATAATGCTAACGAAAATTAGGGAGCTAGTAAAAGTAATTCAAAACATAATTAGCAAATAAAGTATATAGCGTAAATTTAAACTTAATCTCACCTATTTTTTTCAGCAAAAATTAAGATTTATTGATGTAAAAGAAAAGGTTTTAGAAGTACACCGCAAATACAAAATGAAACTGAAAGTTGTTTTGGGAATAAATTAAAAAAGTCAAAAAATATTACAAAAACAGTCATCTCTTTTCTTTCCGTTTTTATACGTTTTTTTATAATAAAAAAAAAACAAAAATCAACTTTTCAAAACAACCCTTAATATGATTAACATTCACAATTCATTTAATTTTTGAATAAATTTTTCAAGCTTTGTAATGTTGCTATAAATGAGAATTATATAGAATTAGATACTAACATGGGGTCATTTTAGGGCAACTTAGAGCTGACTCTCTTATATGTTTCATATGGGATTTTAGGAATCAAAGATTGTAAACTAATCAACTCAACATTTATATGCTGAGAAAGTAAAGCATGCAGTGGTCCTTGAGAACAAAGTAGAAATGAAAATTGAGAATAAATACTAGTGTAATGGAAGACTAAACCATAGACTTAGGCTAGAGAATCCTTTTTACAATTAACTTAGCATTATTACCTTTATTCTTAAACATAAACAACCCCACAGAATAAGAATTTCGACATGCACATTCTCTAGAGTTGAGCTTAATGAGTAAATGGACTAGCTAATGACACAACAAAGCAACTTAACATACCATAAGGACTTACTAATTAGGTCCCCCACGGTAGATAATTAATAAATACTTATGGTAGTGATTTTAGCAACATAAGTACTAAACCCACCAAATAGTTTTCTAAGTAGGTAATAAGACTCTCAATGGTGTAGCTAGAAGAGTCCATGTGAGGCTAAGTAGCTAGAAACCCTTAACCAAACACAATACCATACCATAGGATGATAGGAGAGTTACATTCCAGAGCTGACAGATGCAAAGCCTAAATAGGCTGTGACTTATTACCCTTAATTTGCAGTTACCACTGATTTTTTGTTTTTTTTTTTCACCTGCAGATTGATGCAGAAAAGCCTGTAGAAGAGGTTTTTGAAGCCGTGAAATCAGTTTTCACCCCATTGCATGAGAAGGTAAAGCACCGTAGTAATGCTCCATGGAATATAAGTCGCTATAGGGACCGTTGGTTTCTATGGAGAATAAAGTCTAGGCAAGTGGTGTATCAGTGCTGTAAGCGTACATAGTCCTGATAATGCTCTAGGAATTAATTGAAGTGTGTTGTAGATGAGTCAACAATGAATTCAAGGGGGGGAAAAAGAAATGCATGCAACACTTCTAAATATGTGCAATCAAACAGGGGAAACATGGATTATGTTCAATTAAACAAAGAAGCAACTTTGGGGCATTTTAGATTTCATCGACTTTTCCTACATTTGCGCTAGCATTCATATGAGACCACCCTTCGTTTGAGGTGAAAATAATTCTTTGGTCAATTTGCACCATGCTATTTCCATTTTGGAATGAGCATATTTGGCAAATTAGTAGAAAATTCATTTGGCATCACATGCAGATTTTCTTTTGGTGGGAGCCTGTTGCTCCAAGTAGACTTTTTTTTTTCTTTTCTTTTCTTTTGCTCATATATCTGGAAATGACTCAGTTGTATGATGATGCGGCATACCATGACTGGTAACTGCAAATTACCTTAAGGTCCTTGGGGACAATTCTTGTAGATAAATGCTCGAAACTTGTTATCTAACTTCTTTATTTTCCTAAGAAATTTTTCCACTCCCCCCCCTCTTTTTTTTTTTCTTTCTTTCTTTCTTTCTTCTTTATTTTCCTGTGAAAATGTTCTAACACAATCCAAAGTATTGACAAATAAACAGTACATCATTTAGAGTGCTAGCCTAGCATTATCACCTAATAAAGCCATTATATATATATATATTTATGACCGATGTTCGGAGTAGTTTATGCGTACCTCAAATAATATCATGAGATGTACCTAACTTGAGCTAATCAGATTGTGGTTGTAAAATTCGGTTCTTATCAGTTCTGTAGAACATGTTTGGATCCTTTAGAGTCCACACTCTGCAATTTCCATGGAGTAGTTCAAAACAACATCATTTCACTTGAACGGAAACAAAGAAAAAAGAAAAAAGAGGAGACAGAGGAAGACCAAGAAGAAAATGAGCAAAGAGAAAGACTAGAGAAAGCTCTACATTCAAACTGAAATGAATCTCTCAAACTTATCCTAAAGAAACATATAAATCATGGAATGGGTACAGAACAACACATAATTCAGTTATTTATTTTTATTTTTAAATTATTCAATCATTCCATCTTCTCATTCTAGAAAATGGATCTCTTTTAATCTTTTCTCTGTTCATCTTCACAAACAGCTTTCCAATTAAGCTCCATTCCAGAAAACGTAATATGTAATGGGTACAAAACTATATCAGCAATTTGAAAAAAAAAATAATTACACAATCTGAAAAAGAAGAAAAAAGAATAAAGAGAAGATGCCCACAGCCAACTAAAACAAAGGCAAGAAATAATGGCAGTAGCAGAGCATCAAGCATCTACAAGGATCCTCAAATAGCTAGGCATGGTATCCAAGAAGAATCAGGAGGCTAGTCCAACTAGCAAGGATGATCACAAAAGCAAAGGAATCGATCGATATCATGACCTATGTAATCAATTTTATTTTTCTATGAATAACCTAAGTAGAAAAACCTATAAAATAAACATATATTAAACAAACATTCAAATATAGAGAGGAGTTGAACCCTAATTTTATTAAAAATACAGGCAAACAATCCAAATCATATAAAATATTCACATTTAGTCAAGGGCTTTTCCTAAATTCAAACTATTAATTATAATCAATAGGACATTCATTCTCAAGTTTATAGCAAAAACAAGCAAAAGACATTGAGGATGGCCAAGTTTACATTTTACACATTCATAATTTATTGAAGAGAAACCTTGCTAGAAAGATTAAAATACTACATTAATTCTGAAAATTAATTTCAAAAATTAGGGAAAACATTAATTTTGAAAATTGGGGAAAACAGAGATAGAAAAATAGAGAAATTGAGTGAGTGAGTGTGTGTGTGTGTGTGTGTGTGTGTGTGTGTGTGTGTGAGAGAGAGAGAGAGAGAGAGAGGACCCATACCTGATGGAAGAGAACACACAGCAGTAAAGGAGATACGACGTTTGTGGCGACACTGAAAGAGGAGAATAGGGACGTTGGCAACGGCGCTGGAGAAAAACACACTGAAGGGGCATTGGAGAAGAACACACAACACTTGTGTTTTGAGAGGGAGAGGGAGATGGAGTGAGAGAGAAATATAGAGATTGATAGGAAAACTGATTCGTCAATAAACAATACACATAGCACCTGTGTTTTGTTTTGAGAGGGAGAGACAGATAAAGATAGAGATTGATAGGAAAACTGATCCCGCCCCCCCTCGAAAAAAAAGGAGGGAAAAATAATCTAGGAAAACGGATCCCAAAAAAAAAAAAGAAAGGAAAAATAATAGACTATTTTTTTTCATTACCGCTTAATATGTCAAAATTCTTCTTTCAAAATTACTGACAAAATAATTTTCTCACTAAAAGGCTTAAAAATATTAAAAATTATTAGTAGCGAAAATATATTTCTCACCAAATGGTCTTAAAATATTTAAAATCAAGTTTTTCAAAAAAAAAAAAATTTAGATTATTGGTGATGCAAATATATTCCTCATTAATAATTTTTTAATTGTTGAAAAAAAAAAATTCTCACCAAATTTTCAAAATTTTGGCGCCATAAAAAAAAATTAGTGGGAAAAATTTAGGTGACGAAACTTAATTTTTTTCTCACCTAAAAGTAAGTATTTATTGACGGAAATAAATTTCGTCACCTATTATATTTATTTTTTTATTATACGTGACAAAATTTATAATTCCTCATGGATTATTCTTATTTAGTAACGAAATTTGTTTTCTTCACTAATTTTTGTCACCATACCAAAACAAAAAATAAGAGAAAGAGACATCAGAAAAAGAGCAAAGAGAAATCATGTACCAAATCACCGAGCGAAGAAGGTGTGGCGATTACCGGCGAGGCTACTAGTGGCGGCGACGATCGGCAAGGCTAAAAGAGGCGACGATGATGACGATTGGCGTGGTGGAGGAGCAAGAGGTAAGACAAATTAATACCCTATTTTGGGAGAGAGAGAGAGAGAGAGATGATAAACAAAAAAAGGGTAAAAAAAATTTAATGCCCTATTTTTTTTATTGCCGCTCAATATATCAAAAATTTCCCACCAAAATTGGTGACAATATTATTTCCTCACCAAAAGATATCAAAAATATTAAAACGTTTTGGTGACAAAAATATATTCCTCACAAATAATTTTATAATTAGTGACAAATTTTTTTCTCACCAAAAGTCCCAAAATTTTGGCGCCACCCAAAAGAATTAGTGGGAAATTTTTTTATTTTTTATTATATGTGACAATTTATAAATTCCTCATGAATTATTTTTATTTAGTGACAATTTTTTTTTTTTCACTAGTTTTCCTCATCATAGGCTACTTTTATTTTAGTGTTCTCAAAATTTAAAAAATGTCATTGATATTTCCCGCTAAATAATATTTTTGTAATTTTTTTATTTAAAATATCTTCTTTATGTTGGTAAAATATAAAAAATAAAATAAATCCAAAACCCATAGGGGGCACATGACCCCCTGGTCCCTTTATACCTCCGTCCTTGGTGAGAGGGAAAGGAAAAGCGGGTTTTATGTCAACAGTTCTTAGAAGAGAAGGAAAGGTTTGCAGTGGTTTGCTCAATCCACATACATCATTTGGTGAGAGCACTCCAGCCCAGTCACCTCCTTGAAATAGTTTTTCAACAACAGATTTCTCTCCTTCAAAATAGTGCTCACCAAATGCCCTTCATTGGGTTGGGGCAACACAACAATTAGTAGTTGCTTTAAGGACGCCAACCCATCGAGAGTATAATGCTGGCGAAGATGGAGCTAGGAACTAGTCTCTACTTTCTTGGGGCTTTCCTGGCTTCATCATCCATAAACTGCGCTAGTGTTAGAAAAGGAACCAACCTAACCTCTCCAGCTTTCCAAATAAGCACAATACAGTATGATGGTAATTTGTTGCTCCATAGGATCACATGACAACACTGTTGTAATCTAATTATTTTATTTGTTTTCATTGATTTATTCTCATTAAATTTTTTAATAAGAATAGAATAAGTGGTATTGTTAAAGCAATTATTGAAGCAAAGTTTTATTGATGCTTCTCTTTCAAAAATCTATATATGTTAAGATTGTTGATATGGTCGTGCCAACAAAATTATTGCACATTTCAATTGAAAGTCACGGGATTTCCAAAAGTTTATTCAGAATTAGTGACCATGGGGTGGAAAGAAAGTCTCAAAGAGACAATATGTTTGAATACATTTACCATAGTTAACTACATTTTTTTTTCTTCAGTTCTTCAAGCTAACTACTTACACATACTGCAACCATATATAAAGGTTGCAAAAATTACAAAGCATACAAAACAATCTAAATACTACATAATCACTACCAGCTACAGATGCATGTGGCTAACTTTTTTGAATGTTGTAATTGGCTAGGTACCAAAGTCCCAACTTTTCTTCTTTCAACTCCTTCCACAATTTGCTAGATACCAAGTTTTAATTTTTTTGAGTGTTGCGAGAACATCTTTCATGTTGATCCTCTCCTTGGATGATTCTGCAAAGCAACTCAAAGCCAATTCCACGATGGATGATATATATATTGCAGTACAACTGCAGTGACGTGTTCTTCCTCTGGCTTAAGCAAGTTAACATCTACAACATGAGAGATCGCATTTCGTAGTGACTCCCTTATCCAATGTTTCATCATCATGTCTTAAAAAAAAACATTTCATCAGTGGGCATCACTCTTGTAAATGTTTCCATAAGCAAGATTCCATAGCTATAAACATCACAGCTTATGGATACTAATCCTTCTAATCCAAATTCTACATACAATCAAAAGAAATGTAATGTTGTCAAGAAAATTATAGAATTTTGGTGCTGGCAAGTTGGTATATGTCGGTGACTGGATTCGTGGCGTGCTAGAGGGTGGCAGTGTTAGAGGGGTATGTAATGGTGGTAAGTGTTGGATGGGTGAATTGCTTTGGAAAAGAAGGGTATACGGTGGTGGTCGTGTGGAAAAAAAAAAAAAAAAAAAAAAGAGTAATTTTGTTATTTGGTATTATTGTTAAATTTGACAAATAAAAAATATAATGTGTAAAGGCAAAAAAGTAATTTACTTATTAAAGTTAACATTGTTAATTTTTTTAGTATTGAAAGGAAGGTCAATATAATTATGTTAAAATTACATAATTTATTGTATTTTTTTTTTATCATTATTCAATGGAGATTGGTGTAACTTACCATTTAAAGAATTAGCTCGTCGTCAACAAAATCATAAAAATTTCTATGAAAATTATATTTAAAATTTTGTGCTATAATATGAAAAGTGCAAGTCTATATAAATTAGAAACAAGTATAGAATTTAGAAGTCACCTGATGCAATATACCCAAATGTTGCTATGGTCTTTGTACGTGTGACACACTCCCCCAAATCTAATAACTTCGCAATGCCAAAATCAGTCACATGTGCAACCATATCATTATCTAGTAGGATGTTGTTGGGTTTCAAATCACAGTGAACCAAAGGCATTGAATAATCATGGTGAAGATACTGCAAAACACATGCAACATCTATCATTATGTCTAATCTCTGCAACATATCTAAGAAATAGTTGTAAGAATACAACCACTTGTCAAGACTCCCATTAGGCATATACTCAAGTACTACAGCTTTGAAATCAAGGTTCGAGCAGCTACTAATGACCTCAGTAAGATTGCGATGACGAATGTGTCGCATTATCTCGCATTCTATTTCAAAACTCTTGAATGCACCTTCTACTTGCAAGTTGAATACCTTTATAGCCAAAACTATGGTATCTCCAAGGATAGCTTTGTAGACAAAACCAAAACTCCCCACACCAAGCCAGTTGCTCTCACTAAACCCATTAGTTGCTCGAAAAAGTTGTTGGTATGTGATTCTTGGAGGTGTCATTTTTGGTAAGAGATCAATATTGGATGGAGTTTTATTTCTTCTTCGACGTTTTACGAACAAGAACACAAAGGTCATAGAAAGTAGTATGGGCGCAATAGATAACAAAATATATAAAGTTAGAGCCACTCTTTTTTCCCTCAAATGATGAAGGGAACTAGTATGACATGGCAGGACTTGAAACTTTGGTGAACCGCACAATGCTTCATTCGACATGAAAGATCGAAATGTAAAGTTCACAAAAGGTCCCCCATTTGGAATTTTTCCTCTTAACCTATTGAAAGAAATGTTGAGATATGAAAGATGAGACAATGCCTCTAAGGACTTGGGGATCACATCAGAGAGGTCATTATAGGATAAATCTAAGAATTCCAAGCTCACCATGCTACCAAATGAGTCAGGTATAGGCCCTTGTAACCTGTTGTGTGCCAATGAAAGATTAACCAAGTTTTGCAAACCTATAATTGTGCTTGGGATTTTGCTTGTGAATTGATTCATTGACAAATCCATAAATGTTGCAACGTTCAAATTCCCAAGTTCTTGTGGCAGATTGCCATTTAAAGAATTTGAGGAGAAAGTAATTTCCAAGATATCTTTAAGACTCCCTAAGCTTGTAGGAATGACAAAAGTTAGTTTGTTGGAATCAAGGTAAAGATATCTTAGAGTTGTAATATTCCCCAAGCATTTTGGAATCAATCCGGAAAGTTTATTTTGGTTTAATCGTAAGTCACCTATGTTCTTGAGTTGGCATATATCGTCTGGAATAGACCCTTGCAGTATGTTGTTGGAAAGTTTCAATATTTGAACCTTTTCCATTGTTTTGACTATTGGGGGAATAAATCCAGTCAAACCATTTTGTCGTAGAGTCAAGAATGCCAAATTGCTTAAATTACCAATTCCAATAGGAATGCTGCCTCTAATTCCACAAAAATTTGCATAAATGCTCTTGAGGGAAGCTAAGAGATTTCCAATGGTTGATGGAAGAATGTCGTCTACAGGATTATGATTTATCCTCAATATTTCTAAATGTTTGCAATTTACCAAGGAAATAAGGAAGGCCAATTTTGAAGAGAAAGAAGATAACCCACTCATCAAATTGTTTGCTTCCAAGTCGAGAATTTCGAGTAGTCGTAAATTACCAAGCAATTTTGGAATTGAACCCGTAAATGCATTGGAACTGAGGTCTAAATGCACGAGTTTCGAAACATTTGTGATTGACTCGGGAATAATTCCAATGAGTTTATCCAAGAAAGAGGGTACGAAGATTGGGTAGCCAAAGTCCTATACTTGATGGAAGATTTCCTGACAAGTTATTACCAGCAAAACACATTATCTCAAGTGATGAGATATTAAGGATTGACGGTGGAATGACATCCATTAAGTTGTTAATAAAAAGTGATAACCCTCTCAAATTTGGAAGCTGACCAATCTCCTCTGGTATTAGACCTGTCAAAATGTAAAAACACAGAAACTTAAAATAAAATAAAATAAAAAATCTATGGAAACCATTTAAAAACAAACTTTGATAAGAAAAACATATTAATTGAGGCATTTACCCTGGTAACTAACATCAAGACAAAATATTCTAACTTGTACAATTAATATCATCTTTTTCTTTCTCTTGCTGGAGTTGCATCTACCACTAAAATGGTTGCATCCACATAACTCGTAAGAGTAGCCGTTAGTATTTCCATGAACTATATGCCCAATTTAGAAGAGCGTGTAGATGAGAAACCTTTTGATTTCAAATTGACAATTCAAGATGCCTAAATATTATGGGATGAACATGTAATTCAATGGTCAATTTTGTAAAATATAAATATGACAAGAAGTTTTGAAGGCTGCAAGATAAGTAATAAGGAAAAATTAATATTTCATTATGTTTAAAGAAAGGAAGCCAAAAATTAAAATGTCAAAAAGTTACTACCAAAAAGCTAACGCCTCCCTCTATTTTTCAACAAGTCTTTTCGTAGAAAGGTAAAAAATCAACTAAAATAGTCACTTCCCAAAACAATCCATAATAAATTCATAGTTTTGGCATAATTGTATTGACTTCTTTTTTAGTAAAGTTAAAGAGACTAGAAGTAATGCAATTGGTGTAAAGACATAATAATAACAAAGGAAATATATATATATATATATATATATTTGTGTAAAATAGATGACAATATCATTTTTTCATTCATATTAACTAATTAGTAATGAAAAATGAGGCTAAATATTATGTATATTAAAACTTGAAGGAACCTTAGTTAATTATATCAAACATATGGGGTTTGTTTCAGAGCAAATTTCATTTTTACCCCTATATTTTTACACAATTTTCAAGTACAACCCCAGAATATGAATAATTTCAATTTTACCCCCAAAGTTTTCGAAATCGTATCAATTTTTCCTTTGTTGCCACATTTGAAACCGAAAAAGTTAAAAAATTACATTTCGACCCTAAATTTCCAAATAAAGATGCAAACTCACCTTCCCCTACCCAAACTCACTCTATCTCCTCTTTTTCTCTTCTCTCTAACCTAGAGTTAGGGTTTTCGAAGATTTTTCACTCCAATATTGCTCCAACAACTCTGAATCTGCTCATGGGGTTCATATCTACACCAAATCCACCTCTTCTATCTCCTCCTCACATTCTTACTCACATTCTCCTTCTTTTTTCCCTCTCTCTTCCCCTTCCTCTCAATTGTATCATCATCAGAACCTACATACCCAATTCTAATACCATGGCCTCACCAATTCTACTCCCTACTATTCATGAACTACAATGGAACACTCCAGAAAATAGATCTATGGTACAACTGGCTTAATGGCCGCAATTTCAACATCATCCAGAACCAACTTAGCAACAAGCTTACTTACGATCTTGAATGGAACAATAACACTTCCTGTGTCTACACCTTGGATGATTCGAACCCAGAATGCCAAGTGTTGCATGTTGAGGTCGGAATCCTCAGACCCAATTGGCTCGACGGCGCCAACTACCTCAGCCAACACTACAAGGATGGTGTCTTTGCAATGTTTGAGAGAAGGTTGAGTTTGTTTGGGGGAAAGAAAGTAAAAGCTTCTCTCTCTAGATTCTAGAGACAGAAACCTCCTCCCCCTCTCAATGTAACGTGGCGAATGATTAGTTTCTCTACACATTTGCAGTGAGAGAAAGAGTATAATATCTATGTATTTTGTTTAGTTATTGTGATTGTAATTTGGATTTCCTTGTTTATCTTTCCAACTGGTTGTGTGGCTCTATAGAGTGATAGAAAGCTTGGTGGTTTCTACAGATATGCTGCGTAAGCGGATACTGGATGAAGAACTTCATTGAGAGGTGGATGTTTCAATGGGTTTTCTTGAGAGATAAAGTCATGCTTTTCAGAATGGCTCTATTTCTTGGAGTGGGTTTCATGTAGTCTAGTTTGGTAGGTGTCTGTCACCAGCGAGGCTGTGTGGAGTTGTTGTAGAATCGTTTGTGGTGTTGGTGGTGCTTAGTGGACGTCCAACCGATTGATCCAGAGGTCATCTGGCTGGTTGACCGGCTCCAATGTTTACTGTGTTGATATTGGTTGTTGTTTACTGATGTTTCCCATCTCTGGGGTGTGCTATACTCTCATTGGATTGTTGTATCAATGAAGAGTTAGAAGGCAACATACTAGTCTTAAGCTCGGTCACCATCGGCACTGGTATGTTCAGGTTCAAATGCAGCCTAATTCTCAGTTTTCCATAACCATAGCTTATGAGTTGTAGGCATGATTTTGGGAATTTTTATGGAAAATGAGTTGAATGTTACATGAAAATACTACCCAGTTCTCAATTTTAAAGGGCTTCTTGGAGATGGTGGTGGTGGTGGTAGTAGTGGGAAAGATGACTATGAAGGAGGGAGGAAGAGGGTGGCAGAAGGATTTGGGTAATTCAAGGAATAATGAGAGAGAAGAAGAGAGGGTGAGTTTGCATATTTATTTTGAAATTTGGGGTTAAAATGTAATTTTTTTAACTTTTCTGTTTCAAATGTGACGACAGGGGCAAAATTGATACGATTTTAAAAACATTAGGGGTAAAATTGAAATTATTTAAAGTCTAGGGGTGTACTTGAAAATCATGTAAAAGTATAGAGGTAAAAATGAAATTTACTCTTTGTTTTATTTTCTCTAAATCTTAGATGAGGACACTCGTGTAATATATCCCAAAAAAAAGAAAGAAAAGAAAAGAACAATAAATATATATAATAATAAATAAATAAATAAAAGAGAAAGAAATCTACTCAAGAGAAGAGAGAGTGAATGGGTTTCAGAGGTGAAGTAGAGGAGAACCAAGAGGAGAATCTGTTGCTGGAGATTATGGAGTTTCAAAAGGCACTACGGTGATGAAAAGATCATCGGTGCTGCCGTTTAGGCAAACAAGAGAAGTGACACCCGTGGTGGAGTGGAGAAGGCCGACAAGAAGGATCACGGAGAAGAACCAGAACTACTGGTACTGCTAGCGTGATGGTCGAAGTAGCTGAGGAAGAATTGGTGGAGAAGAAATCGGCAAGAAAGCGACGAAGGCCAGAAGGAAGTCTGAATGATGATCAGAGCTAAAGAACGTGCTCAACGGTGCTTGAGGTCGAGGTTGGTCAAGAGATGTCAGTGATAGCCGGGGCCAATGGGTTTGTGGACAACGATGTGAAATGGCGATACTAAAAGGAATAACTATTTTCATTCGAATAGCGTTTTCGGTTTAGACCCGACCCATTGTATGTTTTGGATCTGTTTTACATTGTCATATATAATTATCCATGTCTTGTTTCCTCTTATATCTCTTTGAGTTTGGCCTTTGGGTTGTGTTGATTGTGTTTGGAACAGGTTGCTAGTTTGTTTTTCAAACTTTTGTTGCTCAGAATTTTGTTCCTTTGCTCGAGCGATACATCTTGTGCTCGAGCTGTCTTTGTGAACCTTTACTACTTTTGTAGGTTTGCAAAAAATACTGGGAGTGTGTATTCTTCGCTCGAATGAAGCTTCTTCTGCTCGAGCGGTAAAACTTATTTTCTTTGGTCGCTCTAGCGACACATCTTGCGCGCAAGCGACTAGTGCGTATATCAGTCTGCAAAAGTCAATTTTTACATCACTTTTTCATCTCTCTCTCTCTAAAACATTTCAAAACCCTAACTTAAGACCCTCCCTCTCTAAAACTCATATTCTCTTCATAAATACACCTAGATCGTCGAGTTCTTCACCTATATGCCTGTGTTAAAAAGGTATAGCTTGGCGAGGGCTTCATTATAATCGGAGAAAAGTTGGGTTTTGGCATCTTTGAAGTATCTTGCTTCTCTCTCTCATCTTCTAAGCTCAAGGTAGGGATATCTCCGTACTTTTATGAGTTTTAACTTAGTTATTTGTTATTTCTAAACAATATTGAGGTTTTTGAAAGATTTGGAACAATCTAGGGTTTTGGTTAAGAATCAAAATAGAGTTTTTCCTTAAATGGATCCTTGAAAATAATTTTGATATGGAACATAATGTTGAGTTGAGAATAAATTGTTGATTTTGAATATTGGGATTGATTTTGGAAAGGAAAGATATTTTGTTCTAAGGCCCTCAAATGTTGATTTTATTTAAATAATGAAATTGATGTTAAAATTGTGAAATTGGAGTGATATTGATGAGGATGGTGGATTTGGATTTGTATTGTCACTCACCTCTTGAAATTTGGAAAGTTTTTCTTTATTTTGAATTGTATATCCGTTTTGGGCTATCGGTGGAGAATGGCTATAATTGTTATAGAAATTGCATGAGAATTAATGGAATTGAAACTAATTTTCTCATTTATTTGTATTGGTCATTACTTCACATTTATACATTGCATATGTATATTGTTTTGAGAAAAGAGGTGAATCTAGAAAGGATTTGTTGTTGAATCAAATAAGTTGGCTTGTGTATCCTAGGTGAAAGTCCCAAAAACTGCACGTATACATGGGTGCCAATCTCGCGGACGAAATTTTCGTGAAATGGCAATAGTAGTGCTTGTTTAGCCTACGTTTACATGGGTCCCATTTTACGGTTTCGTTCGGTTGAAATTTTCAGGAAAGGTTATATTGTTTTGAAATTCCCAGAACGTGATTCACTTCCCTGTTTTCCATTAAAGGGAGAATGTTTATGAGCTATGATATTCATTTGGCATTGTATGATTTTTGGAAAGAGATAAAATGGATTGGCACAAGCATTGCATATGCGTTTCACACTTATAGCTTTGTTAAGATTCATATACTATGTTGGATTATTTCTACTAGGCTTTAGCTCACCCTATGTGAGAAAAACTTTTCAGGTGCTGATGATATGCCTTCGCCTAGGCAATAGCTTGGGAAGACTTGGAACGAGAGCTTCTTTTATGTACTTGCTATATTTATTTTTGTACAAGCCAAGGGCTTTATCTGTATCGGACTTAAGTCCACTTTTATTGTAACCAAGAGCTGTCTTGGAAAATTGTAAGCCTTTAGGGCATTTCCTAACTGTTTAACTTCCATTTTCTTTCTTTAGTTTGCAACATATGCTATAGATTCAGGGCCAGGCATTGTGAATGTATACCGCATATGTTTCTTCTTTGTAATCTCAATTGGACTTAATGGAAGATAATTACTTTATGATTTTTTTCGTTTAATAATATTGTGGATGAATTATTGTATTTATTCTGGGGCATTATAACTTGGTATTAGAATGTACTGGGTTTGAATATTTTAGGTACGTGGGAAGTGGTTCTTACCAAAATGGGTTTATCTCGCTTGATAAAGATGTTTGTATGTTTAGTAAGTAATTTGATAATATGCTTATGTGATTATGGCGGTGTTTGGGGAAAATTTTCTGTGGTTTTTTTTTTTATTTTTTTCACTAAAAGACAAATTTTTTGCAAAACCAAAAAAAAACAAATCCAAACAAAATATCCAACCCCATAATTATTTCATTTTTTCTATCACAAACATCACATCCAACCACAAAAAAACCCAACTATCTTTCCAAACACCAAAAAAAATTTCTCCAATAATATCTTATAACTAAAAAAACCTACAAAAAAATCCACTTCCCAAACACCCACTATATGGGTATGGGATTTAATTTCTAAGATATTGATTAGGTCTACGGGTTTCTAGAAGCCCTATTAGAAGAGCACTTGATCACTGCTGTTTCTAATTGGAATTTTGGTAATGCTGCGGGACAATCATTATCTAGGAAGGAAATCCGTATGTGATAATGTGCTTATGTAGAGTGAATTACTGTTGTCCATCACATTAGGACGCGAGTGAGTTAGCTTTGGCACATTTGTAAATGTGCTAATCTTCATTGTTACCTTTATTAGGATGTAAGGACGTGGACGTAGTGGTAGTAGGCGTGGCAGGCCTAGAAGGCATGAGGTGCCTTTACCGGATGAGATTCTGACGTAAGAAGTAGGGGTTGGTCAGGCCAATGTGGTTGAACCAATGGGTCAGCAGGCCATGGGCGCTTTGGCCTATGAAATGGCTGGAGCTTTGCGGGAATCCATGGACATTCTCAGGGTTGAGAATCAAGTCCAGGCCCAAGTTGTTGAAGCAAGACCATCTTTTTTGAAGAGGGAGTTCTTTCGGTGTAATCCGGATGAGTTTTCAAATGACCCTAAGGAGCCACTGAAGGTGGATAAGTGTCTAGAATAGATGATGAAAGTGTTCGAGATGCTTAGCATCGAGGACGACGGGCTAAGAATGACCTAGGCATCCTTCTAGCTTAATGGAGA